AGACTACGCTTAAAATCGACATTTAGCTTGTTCCATTCTTCGATTACTCTTACGGTGAACGTCCAGCCACCTTCAGTGCATCTCTTGTAGCGAGGACAGCTTAAATTTAGATTACAGTATCTAGTTGTTTTATTATCTGGAGTATTACCATCTAGTCTTTTGTATGCTATACGAGATTTGCAGATTAAAGTGAAAGCACTAAAAAAAATAAACAGTAGTACTGTTTTTGGAGACACAAGTAAGGTTGATTTTGTTTGACCGCTAGGAATTTCCTGTCACGATTTTGATCCACCTCTCCATGGAAGTATAACTTCACTTTCGTGTGGATCATATTTTGGTTCCCAGGCCACTTTCTCATGTGACATGGGATATCAGCTAGATGGATCTCATTCACGCACATGCCATTCAAACGGCACGTGGTCTGGAAACGAAGCAGTATGCAACGGTAGGTAGCCTTCTGATTAGAAATACCCTTCGTTCACACTGTGTGTTGTTGGATAATAGAACGGCTCCAATTACAAAGGACCCGTGTCCCGTAAGTTCTAGAATCTACAAATTCATTTGGTTTGTGTACCCTTGTCAGATCTGTCCTGTAACTGCTTATGAAAAAGTTATAGGCCAGCAGTCTTAAGTGTTCAATAGCACTACCGCCTTTAATCTTACAGGGTGTTATCGAGATATGGTTTGAGTTTGATACATGAGCTATTTCACCACTTTTAGAGAGCCGAGACATGTTATCGGTATCACATAATGATAACATTTTTACTGACCCATCCAGTTGTAAGGTGCCCTTCTATCAAAGCACCTGCCTACGGAGATGTGATTCCTGGCGTATGTAAATCCCTCCACGGCGCCCAATATGGAGACAGCTGCTTCTTCATATGCAATCCTTCGAACGGCTACCAGCTGGAAGGTCCTCAAAATGTTTTCTGTCAACATAATGGTTCTTGGAGCACAGACACCGAAATGTCATTTTGCAAAGGTAAATGATAACTTCCAAAACAAGATCAAGGTAAGTACCTTGATCTTCTCTTGTATTTCATATTAACCGTTAACAAATATTGCGCCTTTCAATAACATGCGGACTCTAAAATTCAAAGCTTAACCGAGAAATGCGTTTTTCGCTACCGTCAATTAAATGTTCGGCGGCTCCTCCCAGCCTCCGACTACTGCCGAGCACTGTTTCGTTGTCTGAACTGTACTTAACGATTTGATTACCGCGGGCTCGGCAGTAGTCGGAGGCTGGGAGGAGTCGCCGAGCATTTGATTGACGGTAGCGAATTAAAAACGCATTTGTCGGTTGAGCTTTGAATTTTAGAGTACGCATGTCATTGAAGGAGTAGTAATTCAAGAGTTAATTCTGAATAGTTCGAAGATAAATACGAAATAATTATATTGATTATTCTGAGCTTTAATGAAGAATTGTCTAATATAATGTTTAATTAAGCTTGACAGCCATATTTCTCGCTGGTACAGTAGCTAAGAAAAATCTTTGTATGTTGAACATCCGTAAGAAAAATTCTATTCATCGACTTCCTTGACATCTGCTGAGACAAGCGTAAGATGCGATACACAGTACTGTAATTGCAAGTCAAATTTAAACTAATTTGAAGTCTTTCACCCGTCTCTTCAGATGTTCAGCGCCCTCAGATTCAGTGCCCCGCAAATATTGAAGTTGAGACAGAAAGTGGTCAATCCTATGCAACCGTAAACTGGACCATTCCAGCTCCAACTGACAACTCTAAAGAAACTTTGAAAGCTATTGGATTGTATCCCCCACGACAGTTTGAAGCGGGCCGGACGGAAATCACATACGACGTAACGGATTCAGCAGGGCTCACTTCAAGCTGCAAGTTTAGAGTTAACGTCAAAGGTATTTCTTGTTGAATAGTTTAGCAAATGTGGGATTGTATCCTCTTGCTATCCAAGGTCAAAAGTGAAGGCAAGTAATCAAAAAAATTCTCGCAAATTATATCCTGGATTAGGTAAATCGTGCTTTGTACCAGCGGACCCAGGTGTAGGCGACGAAAGGGAGCCATATGAGGGAGTTTTGCCATTCGTAGGGGAAATTTAGTTCAGTTAATTTATTGTAATGTAATTGGTCTGCAGATACGGAACCACCACGATTTCGTCATTGCCCTGGTAATATGCAGATAATTTCCGGAAAGCAATGGAATAAGGTCGTGTTGCCGCCAAGTTACCATACAGATAACGTTGGTGTCTCCGTTTTCAGTACAAGCATTCGCAACGGAAGTGAGCTACCGTGGGGTCAGTACAGCATAACTTACGCTGCCTCGGACAAGGCAGGAAATACGGGGAATTGTACCTTTCATATCAGCATAGCTGGTGAGTATATTTCCATTGGCATGCATGCGAAACGAAGGAGCCACTTATACCTATTTGTACCACTCTTACCTTGTTCTCTCTTGCACTGTGAAATGGGATTTTAGTCACTGGTAGTGGGGTCTGATCAATGACAATGGTGAAAACAAACCCAAAACGCAAACTAATCACATGGTTCAAATGCATTGTCTGGCAATCAGAAATTTTAAAAATCTTCCTGGTATGAAGTTCCTGGTACCTGGTTACAAGTTGATATCATCCCTATTTCCAAAAACTAATAAGTGACTAAGGAAATAAATGATACTGCGCAAGTGTAATTTTCGAAGTTCAATGAAAAATATATCACCATTTTATCGTTTTGTTGCCTTATCGTGATTTTGAATATCGCTTACAAGGTTCTCAATGCGAAGATCTGGAACCACCTTTGAATGGCGCGAAGGCTTGCGAAACGTGGCTTGTTGGAATGCACTGCACTGTGCACTGTAACAAAGGCTATAGTTTTGCCGCTGACCCACAGAAGTTGTACTTCTGCTCTCCAAAAGGACAGTGGTTCAATGTTAAAGTGAATGGAGAGGAAAAACCTGCTCTTCCTGATTGTTCCGGTAAGTTGTCGATTCTCTACGATACGGAACTTGATGGTATTGTTTCATCGCCTCTGCCGAGTCATTTTATATTCGTTATCCTTTCGAAAACTTTAACTTTACATCCTTGTTACCACCCAATTCAGATCATGTGATGATTTATTTGGGAAGTTGCAACTGTTCTGTTTGCATAAACTCCCATGTAATCAGTTGCGCGAGGGAAATTGCACAATTGCTTTGTATCGATCAAGGAAGTCGGTAACGGCACAGTCTTCATTGTTCAAGAACAACCGAAGCTGCTGGGTGCACAATGTAGTTTAAGATTCAGTTCACGCTGAGAGAAGTGACAATAAATATAAGGTCACCTGCTGAACTATTTTTTTTCAGAGGAGCTCAATCCAAAGGATGCTCTAGTGAATGGGCAGATCCATTATCTCACAGAAGAGTGCGGTGGTGAGGAAAGTAACCGAATGGTGGCTAGGAATTTCATAAGTCTATTTAAACAGCATCCTTTCGGCTATGGAGGATGTGTTTCCAACGAGAAATGCACGATTGAAAATGTCAGGGTTGAATGTGGATCAAGGACGCGCCAAAGAAGAGAATCTCTTGACCTGCGACCAAAATCTAAATTGTATTTTCAAGTAACCTTTACCATTAAAGTACCACTGGAAACTAACTCCTCTCGTGATTTGAACAAAACTTCACAGGAGTTATCGCAGGCCATTGCTGCAGGCTTAAATGAAACGAAGCTCGATTTAGACATAGGCAACAAGACTCTACAGGTTGACAAATCAGTACCTCCAGTTATCACCATCGCTGGCTTTGCTTGTGACAAAGGACAAGTGAAAAGAAAGAATCGGTGTGGTGAGTTTTCTGTTTTTGGTTTTTTCTCCTTACTGTTTTAAATCACCCAGATCAAAACGATATTAGAACTTATTTTGTAAATGCGTGGTTGTCGATTTTCATTATTATATTGAAAGTGTGCCCCGATTAGATTTAACTTAAAGCGTTTTTCCTTTCATCTCAAACTATGCGTGCACGAGGGAATCAACTGTCATTTCTTCATTAACCTCGGTCCAACATTTGTGTACTTTTATGACCTTTTACTTCAGTAAGCTGTCCAACTGGCTATTTCCATAATGCCAGCGCACTGTCGTGCCAGATTTGTCCTGTGGATCATTACCAAAATAAGGAAGCCCAGTCCTCATGTATTTCCTGCCCCAGTGGAATGTTCACTCGAGGGAAAGAAGGATCAAAACTGCGTGATGATTGTCGAGGTAAATACACGTTCTCATTCTTTACAAAACTGCCGAGTTAATGTTGGCACTGGTACCCATTGTGGAAAGCTGTTCAGGCCTGCTCCCGCTTCTTATTAGGCTTGAAACGTACCTTAAGATAACTGTAGACCTCAATTAAAAAGGCAATCCAGTTAGCATTTCCTTCCTTATCTGTGTTGTCTAAATCAAACAATGCATGTAAAGCCATTACATCAAATTTGATTGGAGTGTTAACGAAAGATGTTTTATCTATCGGGCATGTATCGTCAGATGCATTTTTGTGAACTTTTATCGATCTTAAAGTTGCATTTTTTTGAACTAACATATACACGGCGACATATTAGCTGTCGATACCAAACGTTTTCATTACTAAAGAGCCATTATGTCTATTCCAACTATCAATAACAAACTTAAACAGATAGGTCTAGCAACTTAACAGCTTTTCTTTTGAAAACTATCTTCATTGCCGATGACAAGCCAGATAGTTTCATTGTCCACAGCTTCTTTCCTCTAGCCATGGTCTGTGAGACAGTTGTCGACAAGAGAGTTATCATCAGTGTTTCTTGCCAGAAACACAGAGCCAGAATACCCTCTCTGGCATATGCAATGATAGATTGTCGCGAAGCTATCGTACAAAACTACAGCTACATCGATAACGTTTCACCTAACTTGTCGACATGCTTCATCACCCACTTATGGTTTTCGAGCAATTTTAGTGGTCCAGTCTGCTTAGGCACCCAGAGCGAAAAACGTTTTCGAAAGCTAACTAATAACGCACAAGCATTTGACTAAGTAGATCCATACATTATTTTTCAGCCTGTCCCAAACTGGGAAAACCATTCAAGGGATATAAAAATTGTTCCATGGTTGGTGGAAGGGATGTTTGCACATTGACATGCCGTGAGGGGCGCTCTTTCCACGCAGAGGCAGAAAACACATTTGTTTGTGGTCCTGATACAAAGGGGAGATGGAATGGACTAAATAAAGTAAAACTACCCAAGTGCTCTAGTAAGTTAAATGTTATAAATTTGATACCCCGGTTATTTTTAGATTACAAGTAGTCCGTCATACGTCTCGAAAAAAACTGGCCGCGCAAACTCCTGGGGGCGAGAAGCGCCCGAAAGGAGATGACACTAGGATTTTTCTCGCGTTTGTTTGTTTGTTTTTTGTTTTTTCGCGTTACGCAAGACGGAATAAGCGAAAGAGGGACTACTCGTAGTCGAGGCGATAACAGGATAATCTGTTAAAAATAAGCGAAGTTTCTATCTCAACAAAGTGGGAAGTGGAATTTGGTGATTTTAACTTGTTTTTTCCTCTAGCATACGACTGGTAGAGAGCATATGATTCGGGGGAAATTTGTGGAGGTGAAATTCAGTGTCATTGAAAATTTCAGTCATTTTACTCTACTGACGATCCGGTCGAAAATGGCCGCAGCAGAATAGAAAACTTCTTATACTCCAGTTGTAAATGCTGCAGCAATACAAGAACTCGGAAAACCATCGACGAAATTATTGAAGTTTTAGCCAAAGATCACTAAACAAAGTCTTACAAGACGAATGAAGATGGGATATATAAAAGTTTCATATATTTTGACTGTGTAGATAATTCAACCAGCTTCTTGTTATGGTTTTCTTGTTCACTTTACAGCTGTCATCTCACCAAGTCAAATCAAACATCGATTTTCCCTGAAATTCCCCAATATCCTATGCCAGAAGAACCGAAACTTACAGCGACTACCCATCTTAATTCAGCGCAAGGTTTGGACATCGCTTAGGAGTGTTCCAGGATGCACTTTTGCAGATGAATGCGAGACTCGCGTCATCAAAACACCTAGATGTCACACTGTAAATGATGCCATTGAGATTCTGTTTTTGGTATCAATCAAAAGCAGCCATTCGAGTCTAAAGGTGGCCATAGAGGACACAAGCGAGGCTGTCGTGCTCCAGTTGAAGCTAGCTGTCACCACAGGGAAGTTTACGATCAATGTCGATGGGATTTACATGACTGTGGAAAGGTCATCACTCAAACATCTTTCTAGCCAGTTTAAATGTTCACCTGGATCTGTGTTAAGCACCACCAAAAAGGGCTGTGGTAAGTGTAAGAGATAATCAAAAATGTACTTGCTTTGGTGGTTTCTACTGACAAAAAGACTAGAAATACAAGTACGTGTCTCAAACAGAACGGCAGGAGGAAACTTTGCGAGAGGTGTTAGAGGGTTTTAGTTCTTGGGAAAACAAGGCTAAGTAGGTCTCTCAGTTTTGGTGAGTCGCTTACAGCATAGCCATGAATATTCTGCGCGAGTTTTTCTGTAATTCGGGAAATTGCGTGAAAAAAACTAAATGAACCTTTTGTTACAATTAAAATGTTGCTTGTAAAAGTGCAGTGCAACACAACTCCTTTACAAGAACGTCTTTATTAGACATTTTTTTTCTACCTCGCAACATAATTAATAACACTGGGTTTAATAATTCTTACATTTAATGACCTTGATAAAGAATGTTCAATGGTAACATAAAAGTCTGCCTCCCTTCCCCCCCCCCCCCGCCTGTAGTTTCTATTGTTCGGATCATTTATGTATTGTTTCGTGAGCCAATAAAAAACGGTGTTTAGACAGCTACAGGCCTTCCCACATAAAGAGGGTCTCGTATGCCCTTTAAAAGTACTAGAAAACTTATGTTAAAATTGGCAGATTTTAGGAATCTACTGGCACGAAATAACAATTTACTCATAGATTTTTAATTTTTGCTTGTGTGAAGTTTACTTAGACCCCATTTACACGGGCTAAAAAATCGGCAAAACGCGTGGCGCGGAACTTTTTGGCACCGTGCTGACCAATTTTTGGGCATGGCACTCCATAGTTTCGACTGATAAACGTAGCGGTCCCAAATGAATTGTGGCACCAGTGCAAAAAAATTTTGGGGGTGCCGAGACTACCTCCTGGAGGTACGGTAATAGAGACACTGTGCCGATATTTACGTTCGTGTCAACGCTTTCCCGTGCCGTTTGGGACACTTTTGTCATAAATCCATCTCTGGCGCATGCGTAATTGTCACAAAAATGGCTACCGGCCAAAGAGACGCGTTCGCCAAGGAAAAACCTGGAAACTGGAGTAACCTGACCCAATGAGATACCGAAAAATAGCAAGTCGGCGCTAAGTACTCAGAAGCAGCTTGGCGCATTGCGGTATCTTGTCGTCTTATTTCACCCTCGATCTCGTTTTCTGAATGAATTGATTATGGCTCCTGATTGAAATGTATCTCTGGTAACTCGGAAATCCTCGTAGCACTGTTTTTCATCAAACTGCGTGTCTGGCATTTCAAACCAGGCCTGAATACGCGGTCTCTTCCACAAGCCTCTCTGTCGAAAGCTCTGACGAGCCACGTGCGCCATAATGGCAAAAACAAAACAAAACAAAGCAAAACAAAAACAGGTCTTTTTCTCTCTTTTTCTTCTGCGCTTTTCTTGGACATCTTGATACGTTTCCTTCCCGAATCGAAGGCGACTATTAACGTTTTGATTTTCAGCTTATATTACGCTTAACGCGCGATGCAAAATGATTCCTTGAGGTCTCTCCGCCGTTTCAATGATTCCTTGATGTCTATCCAATTCTTCTCGGTTCCAATTATCAAAATAATTGGAACCGAGAAGAATTGCCCAGCGGGGGAAAAATCGTTTAATGGTAGTGCCGTGCCGAAAGGGTTTGGGCACGGTACCAAACATTTGGCGTGCCGTACCGATTTTGAGCGCGTGTAAACGGAGTTTTAGAAACAGATGCGGTCTTTAAGACTTTGACTATAAATTGAATTGATTATCCCATACCATTATGCTTCCGTTTCATAGTTGCCTGTCCTGTTGGGACGTTTTACGACAAGGAAACTCTCAAGTGCAAAGCCTGTGGCCCCGGCTCGTTCCAAGACCGAGAAGGACAGACCAGATGTTTGTTTTACAGTGGGCAAGGAAAGAGAAAATAGCTACTGACTGACTTTTAGTCAGACGATTCTAATGTGGATAGTAGAGCTTTCGATGTCAACATTGATATTAGATTTGACCAAATTTATCATCAAATCGTAGATTTAAAAGGTCCAAAAAATGAAATTTAACGACACGTAATGATATGGATTTAAAACTAAGATGTAGCGTAACTATCGCTGGTATTGTCGCTTATGTTGTTTTAAGCTGCTCAAAGCTGTTGGTGTGTTGTTTGAGGAGACTGCTAGGCCGGTAGAAGTTTAATACATATCAGAGAGTTTTCTTTTTTGAAAGATACAGTTGAAATGTTTAAGTCTGAAATGTGACCTTGTTTGTAGATTTCCTCACGCAATAAAATAGGGGACTCACTATAGACAACGCGACGGAAAATAACGAATAACCCTTCGTCTCTTGTGGTAAGGTCCTATAAGAGCTCTGTTGTTATGAAAACTCGGTAGCACTGTGATTCGCTAGTACAACTAGAGAATAGTTGTTCGGGAGCGTGTTTTTAACGTTTGTATAGACTTGATTTAAAAACATTCGTGAAAGTCTTGGGGAAGGCATAGCAGCTTTATGAAAACAGAACGATTCTCATTTTCGTGGTTTCTCTCGTTCCCGAAGCATTAAATAGCCGTTGTTGTATTGGATCACTGATGCATCAGATAACAGAGATCCAAATTTCAATAAAAGTTTAGTAAGTTTGGTTTTGTCATGTCTATTGAACCGTAAAATGGCGCTTGCAGACTGGAAGGCGCGAAATCGATTTCCAAAAGGTGCCTCAAACGTGAAATGTGTAACGGTCTAAGCTAAAACACAGGCAACAATGCGTCGAAAACCAATAAAGTATTAAAAAAATGTTTGTAATGTAGAAGACTGTAGTCGATTGAAAATTGGTTGATTTCACGCGCTTCTCTTCTCAGGAAACAATACGACTCTGTACGTTTTCATGTCATTTTATTTGTAATGCTCAAAAGCAGATACAAATATCCCCATATTTACGTTGTGTACTCTATCTCAAAACATTGGCTAGCCGGATGGGGGAATGAAATGCCTGCACATTCTTTATTTAGTGCAGAGCACCGTAGCAAAGGGATGCATTTCGGGATCTTTGTACGAGTTGCTAGCAAAGCGAATGCCAATTCCCGCTTCCAGCTCATTGACTGCACGAATCACCAAGCCGTAATTAGGTAGGCCACTACTCCAGCTCCTAACTGCTGATGTAATGTCGAAATCCACGAAGCCTGCTGGTCGCCCGGGCAATATTGTAACCGGATTCCATTCCTGCGGGACTCTCTCTGCGTCGGTGCCATCCAAACCTAGCCACGGAGAGGTCCAGTTTGCACCTGAGTAGGGCCTGGAACTGGTAGCTTGTTTCTCACGCCAGTATTTTTTCACCAAGTGCACCTGCATATAGCGGGGAATGAAAGGAATGCCAGTAATGGGGTGCCATCTAGACTTGTGCGCGTACAATTAGTACAAGTACATCTTGGCGGATTTGATTTTAGATGACGGACAGGCAACAGGAAGGTCTTCAAACTGCACCAGAGAACGCTTGTTGGGATACCGCGGGTGTCCTGATACCAGGAGGAAAGGCAAATAATTGAAATTGGTTGATGGAGTCTCCAGTGACACAGATTTTACTGCCTTAAGCACGTACAGCGTACCCGCGCCGGTGTCACCAGTTTTTACACCCTCTATTACAGGAACGAGTAGCGCCACCAACATGATAGTTCCGATCGCCCCAGCCGTCATGCTGTAGAAACAACAAAAAGATTTTTCTTAGTTTTTTCTGCTATGAGCAGAAAGTTAATCAGGTGGAGTAATGAGCCACAGAAATAAGTAGGGGATAAATACGTTACGTGAACAGTTTCAAATTTCCTTTCTAATATGGTCGAAAGCAAAACAAACGGCGACTCGGAGCGAGAGAACTTTAAAAATCTACGACCTTATGAACACGCATACCTAAAATATAATTTTGGGTGTTAAGGTGCACATGAAAGTGTTAATTGTGATAACCAAGACAAACAACCTATTGGACTTTCATAATAATTTGGGACATTTTTCTTTAATAGCCTCTCAAACTGTGTCGCAGAATGTGTGCCACATGTTAATTTACAGCGAAAAATTGTCCACTTTACGATTGTCAAAAAGTATCATCGGAGATTGGACGAAACGTCAAAGGCATCGTTGAAAGTTTTTCTTGGGAGTCCTTGGACAAGTATTCATTTTCAGAGTGCCGCTGAAACATCACCATGTTAACTTTCGGAGAAAAAGCAACTTACCTGTATTCTTGACTGATTATCTCTTATTGAAGGTAGAAATTTCTGGACAAGGAAAGAGCTTTTCCTTTGCACGTAGCTAGGTTGGACGCTGGCTCACTTTAGACGGATTGCCGGAGATAGACCGGTGTAAACATCTGAACTGAACATGAAAATCTCAGACATCCAACACGTTATACGTTATTTGCATATTGCGACACGTTGCTTTTTCCCTTTGTAAGGGACTTCGCACGGATATTTTGTGATGCAAAATAAAACTGCCCTTGATTTGCCTGGAAATTTTGAACCGCGATGAAATCAGATTTCACTTCGTTGCAGAAACAGTAAGACAAACATTTAATTTAGGAGCAAAGTATTTAAACTCCAACCTCTGTATGCAAATATTGAACCAATTAATTTAATATTTACAGTTGCTCCAGGGTGAAAGCTGTCAAAACAATAAAAAATTAATAGACCCTGTTTCGGATTTTACTAACTTCTGATGTTAGCCATTTAACAGAAATCTGTCGATACAGCTTAAGACAGTACGTCAAAAAAACAAAAAACAAAACAAAGATAACCAAGCTTGTTGATAGTAAAATCGCAAAGCCATAGCGATCGCTTGGTTCAAAAAATTATTCAGTAAACGCTTATTTCAGTGCTGGGGGCACGTTTGTGCCTCCAGAAATCTCCGACTTCGTAGAACCATATTTTCGCTAATTCGCGATATATTACTCTAAAACCTGGCCATTTTACCAAATTCTAAGGAGTAGCCTAGCCACATGGTTAGCCTTAGTGAAACTCCCCTCAGTCTATTTAATGCTCCGGCTAGCTTTAATAGCGTTTCGGTTAATCTGAATAGCTTCCTGATTAGCCTAAATAGACACTTACACGCGACATTGGCTTACTTTCAATAATTGTGAGGGTGTAGGTAAAGTTAAATCATTGAAAGCCAACCACTCAAGAGTTAGCGCTATTTAGCCTAACAGGAACGGTAGTTATAGGGAAACCGGAGTGATACTACAGCTGATCAAGTAAAAAAACTTATTACCGTTTTACTAAACAACCACAGTGATTCATGTTTTGATTGACTGACGCCACTTCTTTGTAAAGGACTTCACGTAGATATTTTGTGATTCAAAATAAAACTGTCTTTCGTTTGTCTGGAAAATTTTCAGCTGCGATGAAATGATTTCGCTCTCCTGCAGAAACAGTAGGGCAAATATTTTCTTTAGGAGCAAAGTATTCATTTAAACTCGAGCGCCTCTATGCAAATATTGAATTGAATTAAATTGAATTGAATTAATTTAATGTTTACAATTGCTCCCACCTGAGAGAACTCAAAACAATCGACAAATAAACCCTTTCTTATTGTTTTTTCAACTTATTATACTAGCTATGTACCACAGATATCTGTTGATACAACTGAAGCCGGAAAGTACTTCAAAATTAGTAAGATAACCCAGCTTGTTAGTCGTAAAATCGCAAAGCGATAGTGACCGCTTGGTTCAAAAAACTTTCGAGACGCACGTTTGCTGGGAGCACCTTTGTGCCTCCAGCTGTCTGTCCAAATTGCCCAATTTCGTAGAACTATATTTTCGCTATTTCGCAGGATATTACTCTCAAACGTAGCCATTTTACCAAATTCTAAAGGACAGCCTAGCCTTGTGGTTAGCCTTAGTGCGGAAACTCCACGCAGCCTACCTAACGCTCCGGTTAGCCTAAATAGCGTTTCGGTTAACCTGAATAACTTTCCGGTTAGCTTAAATGACACTGATAAGCGACATTTGCTCGTTCTCAGTGATTGTGAGGGTGTACCTGTACAATTATTGAAAGCAAACCACTAAAGAGTCAGCGCTATTTAGCCTAACAGGAACGGGAGTTATTGGTCAATCGGAGTGCATCGGCGGCTGACGAAGCAAAAAACTCTTGATGAGGGTTTTACTAAACAACCGGTGATTTATTTTTTGATTGACGGACTGCATTGCCTCAGTGCTCTTGAACAATCATTCATTAACCTTCGACGCTATATTGCGAAATAAACATTAATGACCACAAAAAAAGCAATAGCTATCTCAAGGATTGGTTGAATTATTTTTTGTTTCCTAATTCTTCTTTTGAAAGTTATTCTTTTTCCGCAACTGCCTCCTTATAACGCATACAAAATGCGAAATCTCTCCGTGTTTATACTTATTTTCATTCATTTACGCATCCAGTTTTACCGTATGCCTGATTTTAAGAACACTGCATCTAAAAAGCCGCTCATTAGACCTACTGCCAATTTTTATTTCGCAAACTCTGCGATCTTGATAAAATCCGGCCACATCAAGGCAGACAACGTTTATTGAGTCTCTTGAAGTTCCATTTCAAACTTCTTCGGGTTAAGTTTTCTCAAGAAACGTGCCATTGTGCTCTTATTAGTTTTACTTTCTCCGCCTATCAAACAACACTCGGTGAATGCTCTCTTCTCTTTGTCCCCTCTCTAAGTGTCTTTAGAAACCTCATACAAAAAAAACAAAACAAACAGCAACCACAACCGCTCTACAAGCAGCACCAAACCTCGCGAAAAGTAGAAACTAGCAAAACGGTCAATCTGCCAGTAGGTAGTTAAGAATGCAACTGAATAAATAAAATATATTAAATCTGAACTGCCGAGAAAGATATATGTCTTTTAAAATAGCGCTCCCGTTAGCAAGAACTCAGCTTAGCCTGTGTACGGTTCGTTATCCATAATTGATGGAAATGGAAACTCAACCACCGTTCTTCCTTTTTCGTCCCACACGCACCTTACATGAAATTAAGAAGCATTAGTAAGTGTATGATTATACGTTTAAGTCATAATTTTTTGATTTACTGGCTAGTATAAAACATAGGGAGTGTGATCAGTACGGATAACAGTGGCCAGAAGGACATCAAGGCTAGGCTCAACAAAGCCAGGTGTGCATTTAGTAGCCTCAAAAACATCTGGAAGTCTAAACAGCATAGCCTTAAGACCAAAGTGCGCATCTACAACGGTAACGTTAAGTCTGTGCTGCTGTAGGGCTCTGAATGCTGGAGAATTGTCAAAAGGGATATAAACAAATTCAATGCCTTTCACAATAGCTGTCTGCGAATGACCTGCAACATCTTCTGGCCCAACAAAATTTCCAACAATGACCTGTGCCAGAAGACTGGGTGCACAAGTATCGATCTTGAAATCAAGAAACGCCGGCTTAGATGGCTGGGACATGTCTTACGAATATCGCCAGAGAGGATACCCAAGGATGCCCCTAGGTGGACACCTGCAGGCAAAAGAAAAAGGGGAAGACCCAAAACCACCTGGAGAAAGACAGTTGAAACTGAACTAAGTGAGATGGGTTTGTCATGGGGAGAGGCATAGGCCATTGCGAGAGACAAGACTCGGTGGTAAAGAGACATTGTTACGGCCCCATGCCCCACTGGGGGCA